AACATGCTGCTGGTATTCACACCTGGTCCTATCATCCGTCTATTTGGGCGTTATCGTGCTGGTTTTACATCAACATGGATGCCAAGACTAAACTGAAGATTTTGCTGTTGTTAAAAGAAAGGAATAAGAGGAAGAAAAGGAGGTACCTGATACTCCCAATTTGCTACCCCAAATTTGTCACGTAAAGAAAAATGTATTGGATACATTTGAATTCGACCAGATACATTCGACAGCCTCTTGGGTTTGTTGACACCTCACATTGGAAAAACAGCACCAATTATTGTCAAGCTATTGCACCCCAAGAAACTGATCATAACTCTTAGGCAGGTTCATTTATAAACCAGATGTTTATTAATTAAGCTACAGCAAATTCCAATGATTTTTAATTCAATGTTACTTGTTGAAATGTGTGAGGCATTATCAAACGAAAGACATTAAAAATTTAAAAAGACAGATTGGTACACATAATAATATTGATTGATAACAATTATATTGATATTGGTGTGGACGTATTTCTTGCTCTCCCATCGCACCAGTTGTGGGCTCCGCTTTTATCATGTGCCCCTTTCAAGTTTTTGAATAGAGCACTGTGTATTTCAGCTTGCAGCTCCATCTTCTATAAGACATCTAATGTCTTTTACTTTGGGATCATGCTCTTAAAGAAGAGCAGGCCCTCATCTTCTTCCTGTGGGGGCACATAAGGTGTTGTAGGGATAGTTCTTGGCGTATCCAGAATGTTACGATTTGTATCAATATCAACCTGTGCTAAGCTTTTTCTGGACGCGCTGCTGGAATGCTGCTTTGAAGCAGGCGTATTTTGTTCGATCTCAACATCTAGACATCTAGTCTCAGTGGTGTTTCAACAGCCGAGACGATAACGTCTTCTTCATGTTGGCCTACTGGAGAGTGGATAGAGGGCACCTCTGAGGATTGTGTGACGGTATCAGTGGCATTCAACCCCCGGTCACTTATCTCAGACAGGGTACTTGATATTGGTCTGTCAGTGACGTTAGGTACCTGAAAAGACATGGAATCATACAGGAACCATTTCTTTTTCTTAGATGGCCCAGACCCAGACTTGAGGGATGAAATTTTATGATTGCCATAAAACTCAACACTCGCACAACGTCTGAAACGACATTACTATCCCTATCGCATTAACACGAACAGTTGGTGGGAACATAGAAAGGGCCCAGATAATAAATAAAATAGTTCTTTCGTGCGTCCCACCACGATACCTCACGAACGCGCATGTTTGGTGTGAACGAGCCGTAGACGTCTACATAAGCCACAGAAATGAAAACTGAATCATTAACAATTGTCCTAATCCAATAAATATGTATGTATATATATATATATATATATATATATATATATATATATATATATATATATATATATATATATATATATATATAATAGACCAATCGTAAGGTTCGGGGTGGGGGGGGGGGGCATTTATCGGCAAATAAAATTTTGAAGCAACAAATCCCATGTGCATAGAAGTATAAATTTACACAATATTATGCTGATAAGAATAGGACGGTATGTTTACCTGTGTAGTGGCTTATCACAGAATTGCTTAAGGCATCTTTATCATGCGTAAACTAAACACAGCATGGACATCATTATTAATATCATATTGCGGTAATGGAAATGAAAAAAAAGAAAATAATTCAGAATTGATCGAATGTAGCGTATCTTGTGTACATGTACTTACATGTTTTGAAAATCTGAGGTGGGACAAGAAAGGGGACAGAAAGGGAAGGGAAGGAAAAGCCTGGAGGAAGGGATTCAACCTTAGGCATATTATTATTACTATAATATGTGTGCGAGCCGGGAGAAAGGTCCCAGTTGTCGGCAAACCTGTGTTTGAGCAACAGGGTGAAAAGGACCAAAAAAAAGTCGAACCTAATAAAACATTTAGTTCCATCAGAAAACGCAAGTTTAAACATTTCTTAATAATATTAAATTATATCAAAAGGATATTTTAAGTCTAAGTTTGTTTTATTAATCGTATTTGCATCATGTTCTTTTCCACCAAAGGTTAAAAATGTGCTAGACATCTGGATTTTCTTCCAACTTTGATTTTACACCCTGCGTTACAAAATGTGGTATATCTGTAAATCTACTCAAGATATTACTTAGAGATTTTAAAAAATCAGCGTGTTCATCATGGAATTTGCAACCAGAAAATGCCCTTTTTTTTGGATATCCACAATTTTCAACAACTTGGACCTTTCTCCAAGCACACACGCACACACACATAATACATGTACATGTATACTGATGATCAAAATAAAAATAGATCTACCACTTTTTAATTGTGTATAAAATCTAGTCTTTATGCTTTATTTTTCATGCGTGTAATACTAGGTACTCTGAAAAGTAGGTATTGTTAGGAAAATAACATGTTGCTGTTTTAATTAGGCTAGTACTCACATGAAACAACAGAACATTCGGATTTTTTCCCCGACCACGTGATCAATGTTTTAATAGTCTTTGGTTTTTGTAAAGTTAAGGTCTATATTTATTTAAAACTGCATCAATGTTTGACCAGTGTCTCCCAAAAGAGGCGGTACCGTTAACTCAAAACCAGAAAAATCAAGGCTTCGATCGGCAGGCTAAAACGCCGGACAATTTCCTGAAATGTTACTGGTCAGCCGGCATGCTGCTCGACGTAAACTGAGGGAATTCAAGATTGAAGATAGGATGCCCACATACAGACTTCGTTTACAGTCAACACACCGTCAGGCTAGGACGAACTGGTCACAGCTACACCACCGATGGACCTAGGGCAGTGTGACACAGGTTACCTTCTCGGTTGATTCTCAATTCCAGTCTGAACACCATTATTGTAGGAGGATGAAAGTGTACAGGAGACCATATGAGCACTATCTGTAATTTTTTCAACAACACAATCCGCCTATGAGATTCCAACAGAACAATACAACCGCACACCGAGCACTGCACTTTGAATTTAATACATAAAACCCAGAATAACGTCGTTATCATGGATCTGCAGCCAGCCATTTGACCAGATTTGAACCCAATTGAACATTTTGTGGGGCAGGATTAACTCTGTTGCTCGGGACGCGAATCCCTACCCTAGAGCCATTTCGTCATGACCTTATATAGCATCTTGAAAGACTTGTGCAGGGGATGTACCGATGTGATGAACTGCTGAACGCACACTACATCATATGGAGATCACAGGGCGTAATAATGTGTGACCTTTGGGTCTTACCCCTGTTGTCAAATTTCAGTCATACAAGAGACGTGTTAGCAGAAAGACAATTTTCACCTTGAAATATCCGAAAATTACTTCGTATTCCACTTTCATGTGTAAAAGAATGATTATTTTTCTATAGGAAAGGCGAACCGATCGAACTTATAGGGTGATACCTTTCTTTTGATCACAGGTAAAGATGCCATTTGATTTTGTTTTAAATGAAGTGTATTTAATCTGCCCCGATAAAGTACCACTACATTAAAACAATGTTCCGAATGTAAGTGAGAATAATAATATGACAGATTTGTAACGGATATCGTTTTTAATCGCGTTAGGATGATAGGCGCCATGATGACTATGCAGGTTCTTGAAAGCCTGGTTTTTAAATGGATGTCGTTCTTGTAAGCGCAAGGAAAGGGGTTACGCTATTTAAGTGCAAAATGACCCCCTTGGCTTTTTGATGTTAACAAACCTAACGTCGTACTGTCAGATCGTAATCGCAGTTGGGGGGGAGGGGGTCTACAGAACATGGATATCGGTTGGTACTTCGAATTGTGCAAATGCCTTCGTCACACGATTCACGAACATACCAATTAACAATGTCGAGGAAAAATTTTAATGCTTGAGGTCTATAAATTGTATCCGTCAGTAAAGGTCAATGCATTTGTAAAACTAAAAAGAAAAAGAAATTCTCTTCCGTGAAAAAAGTAAAGAATAGCTCAACCGCTATGCTAATATTATGCAGGTAAGTGAGAGAGTGGTTTTTGGGAGTGGGAGTGGATAAAGTAAGGTGCTACTATTTTTGTCAGAGGTACAGTAGCTATCCCAAATACTTACAGTGAGAACGTATATTTGCGTAGGTCAACACATTTCTATTATAATTGAGTCACGACGGGGTGAATCAGGCGCTCGTCAATTTTTTAGATGCAGTTATTGGTAACATCTTAAAGGTTTTTCATTTGCCTTGCTTTTGATGAAAAAAAACAACATAATCCATTTATCTTGAATAGAACTCAAGATATTTACGATTGAAGGGGAAGAGGTCGCCATTTTTCAGTGTTGAAATTAGCGAGATATGGCCGCCAAAGTTAGGTAACTCCAATAGCTAAAGAGTCTTCGAAAACGGAAAAATGATACATTGTGTGCCTTTAATCAATGTTTTTCTGTAAAATTCATATGGAAATGTGTTTTTATTCAGACTAACAAGAGGTTAAGCAAAAAAATAAAAAATTGATAACAATTTTCCAAACTGGCGGAAAAATGCCTGTTTCTCCGATTTCGTTATTTGGACGAGCGCCTGATTTCACCATGTTGCCTCACAATTATATTATGTTGATGATATAATGATGATGATGATGATGATGATGATGATGATGATGATGATGATGATGATGATGATAATAATAATAATAATAATAATAATAATTATAAGAAGAAGAAGAAGGAGAAGGAGAAGAAGAAGAACTATAACAATAACAATCATCATTATTACAGTAATAATTATGAAAATAATAACAATAATTATAACTATAATAGCCATATTAGTAACAATATCATCATCATCATCATCATCATCATCATCATCATCATCATCACCATCATCATCATCATCATCATCATCATCATCATCATCATCACCTTCGTCATCATAATCATCACCATTATTAAACATAATCAGAAGAAGAAGAAGAAGAAGAAGAAGAAGAAGAAGAAGAAGAAGAAGAAGAAGAATGAAAATATAGTAATGATAATAACATAAATTGTTGGTAACGGACGTCCACGAGATGACTATCACAAGTCAAACTTGTCGCTCAGGGGATGGCTGACGATCCGCTTGTGAATCTCCACGAACAAAGGGACGTAAGTCACGAAGTCCAGGAAGTCCACCACGCCCCTGTTTTCCCGGTTGAATTTGTGCAGAACCTGGGAATATGGACAATGGCAACTGTTTTGGTTTTTATTTTTGTAAGTGTTTTATGGTGCTCGCATGAGGTTATATGAGCGCGCGGGACACATTAAACATTTCCAGTTGGTAGGAAATCTTGAATTTTGCCAGGGTGGCGGCCGAAGCCTACTCATATTGATTTGAGATCTCCAAGAGATCTTTAATGTGTGCAAGTTGCCGACGAGATGTCCGATAATTTTTGCCCTTTTCCGAGAAGGCTTGAAGTACATCTTTCCTACCAGAAGATCAGGTGGGAGAGGAAAGACAGCAGGGAGAAGGAGCCACGGAGTAGCAGTAGAAAGGCTGCAGAAAGAGTCAGGAACCAGAGGAGAGGGAAAGGAGATGAGGGAGTGGGGGCAGAAAGTGGAAACGAAGGCAGAAAACAGAACATTGCTAGAGAGCAGAAAACGAGATGAAAGAAGAAAATTTTATAGAAGAATATTTTCCGGGCTCTACCCAGATTCGACCCGGGACCTTTGACTGAGAGGCGAACATATTAACCTCTAGACCCCGAGAGCCCTATAGGGCAAATGTTGCCTAATACTACTGCTGCTGCTGCTATTGCTGCTGCTGCTACTACTACTACTACTACTACTACTACTACTACTACTACTACTACTACTACTATTACTTTGTCCACATGCTCACTTTGTGAGAAGGTGCTTCCCAAATTATTTAATTAAATTCCTCTACTTGCTGGAGTTGTGTTTCGTCAATAAGGACTTTGAGTTTCTCTGGGTTTCTGTTACCTTAACAACTTCTGTTTTTGTTATAATTTAGTTTTGTGGTATGTTTTTGTAATCTCTCTTCATCTGTATCTAGACTAATATACTCTGGTTATCAGCAAATAGAAGCCCGTTTAGTTCAGTGGTGTTGTCAATTTACTGTTTTCATGATCCATGTAAGTGATGAAGAGAAGCTGAGAGAGAACACATTCTTGTTTCATCACAGACCTGAAAGGGAACCAGTTCGATAGTCCTTCTCCTGATATTGTTTTTATAAAGTGCCATGATGTTCTCCAGCAACTGTCCTTTTACGCCGTATTCCCCTAAGACTTTGCACAGTTTACTGAGGTCGAATTACTTTTCCTGGTCCATAAAGACGATGTTGAGATCTTTGTCATGTGCAATGGTACTCTTACACAACTGTCTTAATGCAAAAATAGCGTCAGTACAGCTCCTGACTTTTCTGAAGCCAGACTGGACTTCACGGAGTTGAGTCTGTACAATTGGTCTCTTTCTCATTTCCAATATCTTGGCGAACATATTGCTTTCTCATTGCTTTGTTACTGTTGTTGTTTTTTTTAGCTTGTTACTCTCTTGCAACACCTCTGATCTTGGGCATTTATGCGGCCTTATTATGCTGCAAGTGCCGTAATTTTATTTTACTATAACTAAAAAAGCACTCACGTAATTGGTGTGCTCCGGCTTCAGTCCTCCTGCTGTGAGTTCTACAGCGAGGCTGGCTGCCTGGGCCCCACCCCTTGGCATGTGCTCCGCCTCCAAAAGCTCAAACAATTCCTGATTGAACACACAAGTGAATTGTGGGTGAGTTACGTTCATTGAGTAAAGTTTTATTATTTTACTTATAATAGGGCCAAAACACACTTCAGAGAATGGTAGGACAGTAGAGTTTTCAAAGTTTCAATCGACCCCCACCCCTCTCTCGCACCCTCTCTCTCTCTCTCTCTCTCTCTCTC